TCCTCCTCCTCCCACCTCCTCCTCCTCCCACCTCCTCCTCCTCCTCCTCCTCCCTTCTTCCCAGTCTTGGGGCCAGAATTTTGGGCCTGAGCACCGTTGCTGAGCTTCTTTTGCTGAAGGCTAGTGCTCTGCCACTTGATGGACAGGGCCACTTCCTGCCCTTTCTGGGATTACTTGGAGCTGAGAGCCTCACAAATTTTCCTGCCCAAACACAATCTTCAGATCTCAGCCTCCTGAGGTAGCTAGGATTATAGGCATGAGCCACAAACATGCGACGTTTTTTATTTTTTTATTTTATTTTTTGGTTGGCCTTGGGGCTTGAACTCTGGGCCTGGGCGCTGTCCCTCAGCTCTTCAGCTCAAGGAGAGCGCTCTACCACTTGAGCTACAGCGCCTCTTCCAGTTTTCTGGTGGTTTATTGGAGATAGGAGTCTCATGGTCTTTCCTGCCCGGGCTGGCTTTGAACCTCGATCCTCAGATCTCAGCCTCCTGAGAAGCTAGGATTACAGGCGTGAGCCACCAGCGCCTGGCGGTTTTTTACTTTTTTAAAATTTTATCTAACTTCAACATTTATTTCTCAGGATAGGCACAGGAAGATAAGATGTGATTTAGATATTTAAAGTTTAAATGGCTTAGAAATATCAATAGTCTTATAAAACTACATGGACATTTTTTTCCAGAGATGATGAAATGTAGACATAGGCAGGTAGGTGAGAATAGATCCCAGAACTTCATATTTGCAAAGCATGCACTTTACTACTGAGCTACATCCTCATTGCCATGGGACTCCTCTCTATCTCCAATTAACCATAAAAAGCCACAAGTGGAACTATAATAGGCTTGGTGTCTGTCTGTGGCTCATGCCTGTAATCCTAGCTCCTCAAGAGACTGAATCAAAGCCAGCCCAAGCACCTGAAAACAGGAAGTGGAGCTGTGGCTCAAGTGGTAGAGCGCTAGCCTTGAAGGAAAAAGTTCAGGGACAGTGCCCAGCCCTGAGTTCAAGCCCCAGTAACAGAGAGAGGGGGGGACATTTTACTTATAAATTGACATGTTGACTTGAAAATCCAAACCCCTTTATACAACCACTAAAAGATTTTTTAAAAAAAAAGAGAGAGTAATTGGTGATATCAGAAAATAAATTATGACCAGACTGCACCAAGCTGATAGGTAGGCTATTGAAATCAGTTACTTTTACTGATTGAGAAAAGTAGCTGCTGGACAGTATTTTCACAATAAAAAAATTGTTTTAAAAAGAAAAGTAGCTGCTGGAGATTATGAATAGAAAAGTGGCACCATGCATTTTTTGTTTTGACAGGATCATTTTGGGTGCTTCTAAGAAAGAGCTGTCATCATAGCAGATAGGTAGCAGAACTGAAAATGTTTTGGATTCTGAGACTTCATTCTAAAACTCCCAGATTGCCCACATCCTATACCCCAAATTGACATAATAACCCATACTCTGGGCCTAGGAAGAGTCAGAATGAGAACAAAATTTCTAGCCAGCCAACTGGGTAGATGGCAATATCAAAAACTAAGTTGGTGGGCTGGGAATGTGGCTTAGTGGTAGAATGCTTGCCTAGCATGCATGAAGCCTTGGGTTTGATTCCTCAGTACCACATAAATAGAAAAAGCAGAAGTGGCACTATGCCTCAAGTAGTAGAATGCTAGCCTTGAGCAAAAGAAGCTCAGGGACAGTGCCCAGGCCCTGAGTTCAAGCCCCAGGTCTAGCAAAAAAAAAAAAAGAGTTGGTGAAAACTGTAGTAGCAGGTTTTCTGCTTGATACATTTCAGGGTGGAAACATCACGGGTTCAACCATGCAATGCCAGTTAGACATTCAAAGGGAGATGGGCAGTTGGCAAATAGTTGAGATGGGAGGAGAGATGAGGGCAAGAGATAAACCTGGCAGTCATTAGCACACAACTGAGAAAATGAAAGCAGAGAATAAGATCTTGCCAGTGCATGGAAGACACTAAAGTTCTTTCTTGGGAAGGGGGTGGTCATGGAAAGCCTCACCAAGAAGATGACTAATCTGCAGGAAGAGTGGAATACACTGTGTAGATGTGGCTGCATAGGGCCTGAGGCTGTTTCCATTTTCTCCAGAGAACTCACCAGCTGTTAATAAGTTCCTCAGGATGCTGATGAGGCTGGGAGAGGCTCAATCAGTACTTTGGACAGGAGAGTGAAGATGTGGGAGTCTGGGAAGTGCAATAGGGAGCAGATGAATGCCAGCATCACTTTGCTCCCTGCCCTGTAACATCTGTACCAACCTCCACTTGGTCGCTTCCCAGGGGAGGGAATTATGAAGAGGCAGGAGGGCACTGGGGAAGGTTCAGGGCACACAAACCCTTGCCATTTCCAAAGAGTGGACTCAGGGAGAGAATATCAGAACAAAATCAAATCTGTTTCCCTAATCCTACTTTCTTCTGAGCAAAAATAGACCACAAATAGGAGAACAGGGTTCCATGGTTTGATAGTAACTAAATATTCATTCTAAGCCCACAGAAGAAGATGAGGCCCAGAACAATCATTCTAGACCAGGCACATGGCATCCACACTTGACATGGCTCCTCTGACTAGCACTGTTTCTTTCCTGGTGTCAGAATCACTTTCTCTAACCTTCTATTTCCTACCAGGCTCAGAGTCCCTACCTCCCCCACTATGGAGGAGTTGATGTCCAATTTTCAGGAGCAGCGGACTGCTTCCGACAGATCGTGAAGGCCCAAGGGGTACTGGGGCTCTGGAATGGATTGACAGCCAACTTACTGAAGGTGAGAAGTGACTATTCTACTGTTCCCCTGCCTCTTCCATTTGTACCCATTCCTTTGGCACCCACCTCAGTTATGAGTTGCCATGGAAACACCCCATCTAGCACTTCCATTAGTACAGAGCCTAGGGATACAAGCAGGCTATTGACCCTGAAGACAGTGGTAGGTATCTCAGACCCTATATTTTTTTGTCAGTCATGGGTCTTGAACTCTAGGGCCCAGGTACTGTCCTTGATCTTTTGTTCAAGGCTATCACTCTACCACTGTGCCATAGCTCTATTTTTTTTCCTAACTAGTTTCTTAGAGAACAGAGTCTCATGAACTTTCCTGCCTACGTTGGCCTCAAACCATAGTTCTCAGATCTCAGGCTCCTGAGTAGCTAGGATTATAAGTATGAGGCACTGGTGTCCAGCTTTATACCCTATCATAAAGGAGCTGAACATTTAGTCTAAAGGTCCAAAACATGGGACATAGGAATCCTAAGAAGACCCTAACACTAATCCTAAAATTGTCTGCAAAAATGTGTATTTGTAGAAGTACAAGTTGTCATGTCCAAAACGAGCTTTACAACGTCGGTCCGGGGGGGTAGGGGGGGAAGGAGAAGGATTGGGATTGGGGGGGAGGAGGAGGCTGGGAACGGATGTGAAGGGTAAACAAAGGAGGAGGCTGCAATGCTTGGTAAGAAATGTACGCATTATCCTGCCCATGTAATTGTAACCCCTCTGTACAGTATGCTCACAAATAAAATAAAATGAAATTTAAAAAAAATGTGTATTTGTATGCATGTATGCATCATGTTTCCAAAAATGTCTATGAGCAAAAACTTAAGGTTAAAAACGGTGGGCTACCCTCATACTAGCTGCCATGCAAGTGATTCCAATCAGGGCCAGTAGATACTGACAGGAAGTGTTACATCATCTCCTTCAATATCCATCTAGGCCCATTGCTTGTCCTCCAGTGGCTCTTTCAACCCTTCCCCCCCCCCACACACACACACCAAACCAGCCTTCATTTTACCATTTTTTGTGTGCTAGTCCTGGGGCTTGAACTCCGGGCTTAAGTGCTATTTCTGAACTTTTTCACTAAAGCCTAGCAGTGTGCTAGGCTTGAACCACTGTGCTAGGCTCTACTTCTGAGTTTTTGATGACTTATTAGAAATGAGTGTCAGAGATTTTCCTGCCAGAGCTGACTTTGAACTACAATCCTCAGATCTCAGCCTCCTTAGTAGCTAGGACTGTAGATATAAGCCACTGAAGCTTGGATTCATTTTACCAATTAGTCTGATTTCCAAAAGAATTCCTTATCGTACTGCCCACAGCTCTTACCTCATTCTACCCTCATCTAACTTGCTGTTAGAAGCGCTAATCATTTCTTTCTAAGAGTTTAATACGATTTTAATTTTCTGTTCTTACAGGTTGTTCCCTATTTTGGAGTCATGTTTAGCACCTTTGAGTTCTGCAAGAGAATCTTTCTTTACCAAAATGGTTATATCATGTCTCCTCTGAGCTATAAATTGACCCCAGGAGTGGATCAAAGTTTGAAGCCCCAAGAATTACGGGAAATAAAGTTCTTCAAAACTGGAAAACTGAAGTCTCGAAAACCAACTTTGTGATGTCATAGTGGAAAGTATAGTACCAGGGCACTGGCTGAAGACATGTGACAATCACAGACAAATGTCGCCTCTAATTGTGCACATGAGAAGTAATGACAGGGCAATCCTGTCCGCTGACTCTTCACCATGAGATGGTTTGGTCATCTGTTGCCTCAGAGCCCCTTACTGACGTCCCTGAGAACACTTGTGCTATGAAGTTTTCCAACACTCCTGAGTCACAATGACATACCACCAGATTGTATAAGCAAAGCCCAGTGGTCATAAATGTACAATAGCCTCTAAAAAGAAACAAGAGAGAAAAGAAAAGAAGAAGAAGGTGTTGTGATATTTCAGAGCAACTTGCATGGGAATGTGCAGTCCTGAGCTCAGCCCCAAGGTGACTCTCAGATGATACAGAGTCCTCCCAGTTGGACCTGTGGCCTCCCCTTCTAGTTAATCTAGGTTAACTTCTGAGAACATCCACTGCAACGTATAGCTTACAAGTTATCTTGAACCAGATGAAAAAGAAATAATAATCATAACTTTTCTTCTGTTTCTTTGAGACAGTGTTTCACTGTGGAGCCCAGGCTGACCTTGAGTGAGCCATCCTCATGCATCCAGTCCAGTGCTGGAATTTCTGCTAAGTGTTACCACTTAAAGCTGACAGTGCTAAAGCCAGGCACTGGTGGCTCAAATCACTAATCCTAGCTACTCCAGAGTCTGAGATCTGAAGATCAGTATTCAAAGCCAAACTATACAGAAAAGTCTGTAAGACTTTTGCTTCCAATTAACTAGCAAAAAGCCAGAAGTGGAGCTGTAGCTAATGTGGTAGAGTGCCAGCAAGTCTTGAGGGGAAAAAAAGAACCTTAAGAGACACAGTATGCAGCCCCTTAGTTCAAACCCTAGTACAGCACACACTCAAAAAAGTTATCATTATTGAGTTAAGACTATTGTCCTTTATTGAAATGTGAAGCACACTGGGCTTGGAAGCTTTTGTTTCAGAAAGCACTTTTTACCATGACTCTTTAATTATGCCTCCTACACACATACCTTCTGACTGAAGTCAGGTGCAGTTCAGGTGGCCTGCTTCTCTGCCTTTTCAACTCGCTTGGCAAGCCTACACTAAAAATGAATTACTTAATCATCTTGCATTACTCTCACAAATGTCCCAGTTGCCTAGAAAGGATCAAATGAAACATTTGACATACATACCCAACCAAATATAGTGGAATTAAACCACTTTTGTCTCATATCTGTACTGAGATGTTTTTTAAATGAATTTCAAGATTGTTCCACCTTAAGGAATGAAAGACATGGCTCAAATGGTAGAGCATATACCTAGCAACCACCAGGCCCTGAGTTCAATCCCCAGTGCTACCAAAAAAAAAAAACAACAACCACAAAAAAAAAGAATGTTCTACCTTAGAGATCCTATGTAAAATTTATATAACTTTAACTTTTAATTAAGTTGTTATTCACACACTATTCTCTTTTTGTGTGTCTCATACACCCACTAAGGTTTTCAGTGTGTTGAAAGTATTTTTTTATCATTTTTTGGGGGGGTCCGGTCCTGGGGCCTGAACTCTGGGCCTGGTCGCTGTCCCTCAGCTCTTCAGCTCAAGGTTAGCGCTCTACCATCTGAGCCACAGCACCACTTCCGGCTTTTTTCTTTTTGCTTATGTGGTGCTGAGGAATCGAACCCAGGTCCTCAGGCATGCAAGGCAAGCGCTCTACCACTGAGCCACCTTCCCAGCCTTGAAAGTATTTTTTTAATTAAACTTCTTTTCCAAAATTAAAAAAGTATATTTGTCATTATTAGTAACCAGAACTATAAAAATTATGATTAAATACCTAAATGGTCAAACTTTAAACTCTCAGAGACTTGTCCTCTAAATATGCCAAAATAACTCAGTTCTCCAATCTCTGGGACACACTGAACTTTACAGGAAAATGCTGTTAACACTCACATGAAAACCTCATCTAAAGCTCAGTCTATTAGAATTCAGAGGGTAACAAATATTTCAATAAGAATGAATAGTTCATACTTTGTCCTCTTTGTTCCCCTTAAAGCAAACATTTCATAAAGCTCTTTAAAAGCTCCAAAAATAGGGGCTGGGAAGGTGGCTCAGTGGTAGACCGCATGCCTTGCATGCCAGAGGCCCTGGGTTCAATTCCTCAGCACCATATAAGCAAAAAGAAAAAAGCCGGAAGTGGCGCTGTGGCTCAAGTGGAGAGCGCTTGAGCTGAAGAGCTGAGGGACAGCGCCCAGGCCCAGAGTTCAGGCCCCATGGCCGGACCCAAAAAAAAAAAAAAAGCTGCAAAAATAACTCATAAATTCTAACATTCTGGGGCTGGGAAGGTGGCTCAGTGGTAGAGCGCTTGCCTTGCATGCATGAGGCCCTGGGTTCGATTCCTCAGCACCACATAAGCAGAAAGAAAAAAGCCGGAAGTGGCGCTGTGGCTCAAGTGGTAGAGCGCTAGCCTTGAGCTGAAGAGCTGAGTCAGCGTCCAGGCCCAGAGTTCAGGCCCCACAACCGGGTCCCCCGCAAAAAAAATTCTAACATTCCAACCTCAGTTTATGTACATCATAGTAGATCTTCTATCTACTTTTCTTTTCCTGCTACCTGGATCTCAGTCTCCTGAATAACTAGATTTGTGTATTTTTCTAGAAATAATTGAAATAACTACTTGTGACAGGAATGTTTTCTGTGCTGCACTTTTAACTGTTGAATAAATTAAAGTGAGGAAGAAGGCCTGGTCTCTGTAATTTCAGAACAATTCTTTAGGACTCTGGATATGTTCTTAAAATGAACTTAAGGCTAGCTGGCTGGCTTGCTTGCTTTGTCTCTTTCTTTCCTTTTTTTTTTTTTCCAGCACCGGGTGTTGAGCCCAAGGCCTTCCATTTTAGCCATGTACCCAGTCCTTTTGTATAGTGTTGCCTGTGTTCGCTTCGAACTCGGTCCTCCTGGTTCCATTTTCCAAGAAGCTGCTATGTTTATTTCCTTAGAGGTATAAGGGAGTGATCTGCTTTCCTGATTTTTTTTTGGTGGTGCTAGATTTTGAACCGACAGCCTCCTTCTTTCTAGACAGGCACTCTACCACTTACTTCCAACCCTAACCTTCCTATTTTATGTCTGCCCGTGCTCACCACACATAATGGTGATAAAGAAACAGGATACAATGTTTACCCAGGAGTAACTTAGTCTTAAGGAATCAAACATATATGAAATGATTAGGATTACAAAGCAAACATGAGCAAAGGCAGTGATAATATAATCTCCTTGCTGAGAAGACTGCCAAGGAGTTGCTGAACGATCTGTAGAGATCAGCACCAGAGAGGGGCTAGTAATGGACAGCAGCTCTTGGAGGAAAGGAATCTTGAACAAAATTCTGTTTGGTTTTACATGGGGTCTAATTATGTATAGCCCAAAGCGACACTCAGGATCTTCCTGAGTGCCAGCCTCCCGAGTGCTGAGAGTACAGGCATACCTCATCATACCCCACAGTTAAACTAAGTTTGAACGGGATAAGCAGTGTCACAGAGGCAGCACATAATCAGTCACAAAACTGGAAGCAGGCCAAGGGTGCTTGGGCTGGAGTGAGAAAACCAGCTTCATGCATCCATTCAACAGGTGCTGGGTACTGTGGTGCAGTGTGATAGCTAAGACAAATAAGGTGTTTCCATCCTGGAGCCTATGGATATTCTAGCAATTGTGGTAGTGAATAGACAAGTAAATGAAGCTGGGCCCCCTGGCTCATGCCTGTAATCCTAGCTACTCAAAAGGCTGAGATCTGTGGATTGCACTTTGAAGGCAACTCGGGCAGGAAAGTCTGAGTCTCTTACCTCCAATTAACTGCCAAAAGAAAGGGGGGAAGAAGGGGGAGGAGGAGGAGGAGGAAGAGGGCCTGTGACTCAAGTGCTAGAGGCCCAGCTTTGAGTAGAAAAGCTAAGGGACAGTACTCAGGCCCTGGGTTCAAGCCCCAGTACCAAGCACACGCGCACACACACACACTCGCACACGCACACACACACACACACACACACACACACACACACACAGAGAGCAAAGTCTCCACCCAGTACCTGCATTACCTAGGCAACTGGCATACCTGGAAGAGGTCACATCTGCATCCGCTGAGGTCACATCTGAATTTGATGTGGCCACACCTTTCTCCACCCATACCCTAGATAAGGCCTAGTCCAGGCCCAGACGCTGTCTTTCTCAGCTCTTTCCCAGCTCTTTCCCAGGCCTTTCCCAGCCGCGTGGAGGGCCAACATGGCCTGGTGCCAGCCAGAACGATAAATAAACCTACCCCTTACCTGAATACCACGTGCGTGGTGTGATTCTTACTCAGCAACCCCACTTTAAAAACCTAACAAGCTACACCTCCACTTCTGGCTTTTTGGTACTTTAATTGGAAATAAGTCTTACAGGTTTTTCCTGCCTGAGATGACTTTGAACTGCAATCCCCAGATCTCAGCCTCCTGAGTAGCTAGGATTACAGGCATGAGCCACCAGCATCCAGCTTTCCTTTCATTCTTTTTTTTTGGGGGGGGGTGGTTGTGGGGCTTGAACTCTGGGCCTGGGCGCTGTCCCTCAGCTCTTCAGCTCAAGGCTAGCACTCTACCACTTGAGCCACAGCACCACTTCTGGCTTTTTTTTCTGCTTATGTGGTGCTGAGGAATGGAACCCAGGGCCTCAGGCATGCAAGGCAAGCGCTCTACCACTGAGCCACCTTCCCATCTCCTCTTCTTTTTTTTTTTTTGCCTGTCCTAGGGCTTGAACTCAGGGCCTGGGCACTGTTCCTGAGCTTCTTTTATTTTGCTCAAGGCAAGCACTCTACCAATTGAGCCACAGCACCACGTCTGGCGTTTTCTGTTTATGTGGTACTGAGGAATAGATCCCAGGGCTTCACGCATGCTGTGTAAGCACTCTACCATTATTAGGCCACATTCTCAGCCCCTTCCCTTTGATTCTTCTTCTTCTTCTTTTTTTTTTTTTTGTTGGTCATGGGGCCTGAACTCTGGGCCAGAGCACTGTCCCTCAGCTCTTCAGCTCAAGGCTAGCACTCTACCACTTGAGCCACAGCGCCACTTCCGGCTTTTTTTTCTTTTTGCTTATGTGGTGCTGAGGAATCGAACCCAGGGCCTCATGCATGGAAGGCAAGCACTCTACCACTGAGCCACATTCCCAGCCCCCCCTTTAATTCTTGATGAATGTGTTTCGCGTTGCAGCCAATGAATTCCTGCTTATATCTTGGTATATTACTACTCTCCTATCCTGTGTATACTATTTCTTTTTTAATATATATTTTGTTGTAAAGATATTGTACAGAGGGTTTATAGTTACATGAGTAAGGTAATGAGTCCACTTCCTATCGAGCATTGTTGCACCCCCCCCCTTTGTGTTTCCCCTGCCATCCCTGTCTGTATACTATTTCTGTAACCCAAGTTGACTCCTCCTTTTCCAGATGTCTGCCAAGAACCATTCTACACAGTGTGAACAATGCCTATAAAGTTGTGTTTTCCTGCTTGTATTAAAATTTTACATCCACTTTATTATCTATATACTGGGTGTTGGTACATAGATATCTAAGGCCTGAAGTATTACTTCTCAGTCTCTTCCTTGTTTATCTTTGGTGTTTGGGGGTATTTTGTGAGAATTACTGGGTACTTGCCTTAGGTTAACTTCCCCTTTATTATACTTGTAGTCCCATAGTCGGT